CGCTGTTTTTTTTTTATTAAAAATTTGTTTATAATTTACGATTTTTTAAACTGCGCGCCATTTTTTTGTTGTTGTGGCGAACAAATGAGGCGCAAATTATATGAATGTGCGTGTCTTAATTTCAGTTGAGTTGTTTTATTTTTTTTTTTTTTTTTCTTTTTATTTTGAGCTTGACTTTTGCGCTGGTTCATTAAGAGCTCATTAAAATCAGCAGGACAACAAGTTGATGCTGAACATTTTGACACGTTTTTAATTTTAATGCACTTTATGGTCTTTTAACGATGTCGCTGGAAAGTTGAGTCCGCCCTTAACCCTTGGCACGGCTGACTTTCACTTGTTGACGTTGACGTTGACGTTGACGTTGCCATCGCATCCGTATCCGTAAACTCATCCAGCTACACATCATGTCAAACTTCATTAGTAACTGCTTTTCGGCTGCGGCAAGGGTGCAACAGCCCTTATCCATGGCAGGCGGTTCGGTCGGGGCAGGACTCGACTGCGCGACACTTTGCGGTCTGCCGCTCATTGTTTTTATGGTTCTCGCTAATTAGTTACGAAGTCGTTGAATTTTACAGAAATTACAGCGTTGAAAGTTATTGTCATGTTGATGGCATTCAAGTGGCGCCAGCGGGCGTGCCTGCAACAGACAGTTGATGCAGTCATCATTTGTTTGCACTTTATAATGTATATACACTCAAAAAAAATGTTACCTACATATTTTTGAAAATCTAAAGTTTAGAACATTTTCTTTTTTCAATCATCATTTTACTTGTTTCAATATTTTGAACATTAATATAAATTTAATATTTACTGCTCTTAAGAGATAACTCTAACTAAAAAAATTATAATTCCTAAAATATATTTTTTAAATAGGGACGGCACCGATTCGGCCCGATTGGACCCTAGCTCAATGCTGTGTTTCGGACCGTGTTTTTTTTTCTGAGTGTACAGACTTGCGGGCAGCTTCAGATTGGCCGCAAATTAATCAAAAGGCGCACAACTGACCGCTGGCCAAAATGCGCATCCAGCAGCAGCTCAGCCAATTACACAAAACTCATTTAAATAAAGTGAAAGTGGGCAGACATTCTTAGAATAAGATGTTGGCCATAAATCTGCTGGCTTAGCGTTAAGAAGCACACGGCACAATTATGCAGACAGCCAGCCCAAAAGGGGTTAGAGCTGCCAAAGGGGACATTCGACGCTTGGTTTTGTGAAATTACAAAAATACAACGCTCTGCTGTTATAAATCAAAGTCACGGGCTTTGTGTTTTGGATTTGCCCAAAAGGAATTTGTAGCCAGAGCCAAAGCAGTGCATACCCCAACCCCCCCTCCGACCATTCGTAATCCAATTGCCCAAAAATTCCCAGTTGCCGCCTTCCGTTTCCTGTTGCTTCTCGATGGCCGCATTGTTGTTTGCCATTTGAATAAAGTTGGAGCATGTCTTGTACATAAGCAAAATAAGTGGCGCTGACATGTTAAGATTTCATCCAAAGATTTATATGCCACAATGTGGCGCAACTCCGACTGCGGGTGCCAATTTAAAAATTGAATTCTCCCCAATGCGACTCGTTTGGCCTGGCTAATCAGAGGCGTCGACATGTGTTGTCCATTTCTTGGACAAAAGCCGCAAATCCTGCGACAGCAAAATTGCATGGCCTAATGCGATTATTGGTTGTTGTTGTTGTTGTTCGAAAACAACACAGATGAAAAGCATTTGCCACTTGACGATGGCCAAAAACTTTTGATTAAATTGGATTGCAAATACTCATAACTGTCACACATGCCACGACGAGTGTTGACAATGTTTGACAGCTAACAAAAGAGAGAAAAAAAAATTTAGAAAATTCAGCCTAGGAACCACCCAAAAATGCTCTGCAATTTTTCAATAAACTCATCAAAGCGCCGGCTTTGAACCCTCGACCATGTCCTGCGGCTACTCGTAAACGCAATTTGATTTATGAACAATGCCCAAATTGAAAATTGTCCCATGGTCACTTTAATTTTTGAGTTATGCGACTTTAAACTACACACCCGCACGGGGGATGACATTCCGGGCACGCACACGTTTGCACGTTTGCCGGAAGTGAATTATGTTGTGTGTGTGTGTGTGTTTTTTTTGTGAGGTTATGTAATGATGACACTGACATTAAACAACAAACGGTACAGTTGGCAACGCCAAAGTGCGTCAACTGTACTTTTCGGCGGCGGCGTGTGAAAAACAAAATGCCACGCGCCGCTTGTTAACCGCTCGACTCCCAGTTAAAGTTAAAGAGCATTTGGCTGGAAGCAAAGCGAAGCAATCGCAGCAACCCTCGTGACCAGCTCTCCAAATCCGCTGTGCTCAGATATTGTTGTTGATTGTTGAAGTGCCTCGATGGTTTTAGTGTCAGCTTATAGTTTTGACAGATCCGTGCGGCTGGTGCTGATGGCCGATGACTATCGGACAAGTCCTGCTGCTGGCTGCTGTTGCGTTGAAGTGTGAATTATGCTCTGCGAACTGCCCCAGCCCAGAGCTATTTTCATTAGACGCTGCTCACATTCATTTACATAAATTACTGGACACTCGAATTCCACACATTGTTGAGCCGCACTTTCACACTCGGAGGCAAACCCTTTGCTCGAATTAGAACATTCCGCCGGTACTTTGATCAGTTGCGCAATTATGCGAAATTGTTTTTTAATTAAAATATAGTCGGAAATATGTGCCACGTATCCTTTGCCCGACAGCCCCACTCGAAATTGGCCACTTTCATGGCTGCCTGCACCTGCTGCGGCACACAATTAAAATCCGAAAATCCAACACCGCAACTCAAACTGACCAAACTTTTTATGCCGCTGTCATTTGATTCTGGTGCTTTTTCGGTGATTCGGGTGTTGGGGAAATGTATTTTTCATGGCTTTTCAATTTTAATTGAAATTTATGCGCACGTCCCGTTAAGGGGTTGCCCAGCCAGTGTTGGACTGGCCACGTGCTCGCCAAAAGTGTTGCAAATTGTTGGAAAAATTTTAGTGTTTTGCTGTTGTTGTTGTTGTTGTTGAAAATTTACATGCACATTTGGGGCCGGGCACGCCTACCTTGATTTATGGGTCGCACTTTTGTTATTTATGTGCCGCGCACTTGAATTCGCTCGCCGGCGGGGAAAATTGCATGCAAAACATTTTGTTGTTGCGGCCCGCCATTTTATTGTAATACTGTGTGTTCATGTGTAAAATTTGAAATTGTTGTAAATAATTACCCTAATGGCTGGCTGGCCTGCACCCGGTCCCCGCTCCGGCAGCGGGGTTGTACCCAACCCCGGGTACAGTTGCGACCAGCAGTTAATTTGTGAGCCAGCATCGTCGCCATTTGCAATTAAGCTTAAACCGTTAATATTTTAGCCAGATAAGAGGCAATACCAATGGCGGCTAGAGTATCCCTTGCCCAGAACTCGCCATAGATTTATGTGAGTGCCAAGGCAAAAGTTCTACGTCCTCCGCCAAAAACTCAGCCAAATTGTTGGAAAAACATTTCACGGTTCGGCGAAAGCTAAAATACTCCGCCCTGGGTGTTAATTTGGGGCCAGATTCTTTACTTTTTTTTTTTTTCTTATCTACATCGCGCTTTCGCCCAACGCAAATGAAAACGAAAACTCGTTTGTTGTTTGTGTTTATTTTGTAAGCGCAGGAATTTAATTAGCCTGCCAAGTCGTTAACAAGATTCAAAAAGCCAGTAAGTTATGCATACGATTCAATAGCTAGAAGGAGTTTAATGAAGAGTATATCAAGAGCCAGCAAATATGCGTAATCATCAAATATATGTAGCTTTATTAGGCAGTCAGATGGAAACTAACTGAGAACTGGAGTTTTCAAGGCTAGAGCCACAAATTGTGGCATATGAAAAAGCAAATATTCAGTTTTTAAGGTAAATGAAGAACTATTGACGACTCAAAGAACAGAACACTCCACTTCAAATTTATGAAAAATTAAATAAAATAGATCTAGTATTACTTTTTGTCTTCCCAATTTTGCGACCTTTCCATATTATAAATATTTGTTTGGTTGGCTATTCACAAAAATGTATTTTGATTTTATAAATTTGAGCAAAAACAATTTCTCAAATTATAACAATTTGACTCCAATTTGTTTGGTACTAAATGGCCTTTCCACATATTCTATATTTATCAAATCTTTGACATCCAGAAAATTAAATAACCTTTTAGACATTTTGCTATTGCACATATTCAAATGCTGAGTTTGATGAAATTGTCTTGGAAAACAGAATTATTTGCAATATAAGAATCTGCTTTTCGGCCGATCGCTCCTATGACTTCCATAAGATATAGTATTCCGATGTAAATAAGATTTGGTACATAAATGAGGAGCAGAGGAGCTAATAAATTCTGTATTTGGTCAAGATCATCTTAAAAATAAAAAAGCTTACCATATACCTTTCAACCGATCGTTCCTATGGCAGCTATATCTTATAGTGGTCCGATCCGGTTGCGAAATATGTACTGCCTGCTGCGACGGATCTATGCAAAACTTCATGACAATAGCTTTAAAACGGACAGACTCACGGCTACATCAACTCGGCTATTGATGTGGATCTAGGATATATATATACTTAATGGGATCAAAAATGTCTCCTACTGTGCGTTACACATTTAATCACAAAATAATCATACCCTCCACAAGGGTATAAAAAATCTATAATTTCATTGAAACCTATGTTTGCTTGTTTAGTTATAATTATTATTAAGTACTTCCATTAGTTAGCTAACGAATGAATAAATAAATCAAAAATAAAAATGTACGAAATGGTTATTACATTATCTACAAAAATATAAAATATATTGAAAACAGACTCTTGCATTCCTGGCTTTTTTTTCTAGAGTGTTTTATACAATCATAAACTATAATAAATCATCTTGTTACAGATAAATTCATTTTATTGTTTTAATATTTATTATAAAGATAACTTATCGAATTTTGATATCAATAAATCAATAAACTATGCATAAATAGTTTCATACAATTTTAATATCTATTGTAGGTTTAAACTTGCTTGTAGTTAATTATAATTAATTATATAACTTCAACTATGTTTTCTATTTTCACACAAACTTAACCAATGTGAATATCTGCAAATATATATGAAATGTAAAACTAAGTTTAGTTAGCTCTGATTGATTATGACTTACTATTATGATGAATGTTTATGTTAATCTTTGGCAGCCTGATGGGAAACGGTTTCGCTTTGCGTTTTGGTGCCGCAAATACATCGCCGAGGCATAATAATAAGGCGACAAGCAAAAGCCACTCAAGCTTGAAGTACTTCATTGAAATTTCGGTTAAACGTATAAAAACGACAGATTAATTAGTTAAGAACATGAGCTGTCACAGCTACTTGGCAGAGACTGAATCATATGCAGCTAGGCGAGACTCTTAAATAGATTGGGAATCTTTAAAAAATTAAATTCTCATCTGTTATCAGCTTGGAATTAACGATGAGCATGCACGAAAACAATAGCAAAAAAGAGAAAGTAAACCCCCTGAAAGCAGACCGGCAAAAAACCCAGTGTCTTAACCCATTGAGCACCCAAGGGTTCGTTTGTCAACTACGCAATGCATGGACTAATATAAACATGCATAAATTGCATTATAAGCGACCTAAACAAAAAGATTTAAGTGCTCAAATGTGCACTCAATGCCCGAAAACAAGCGTTGAGGCTGTTCGCCCCTCTGCGTTAAATAACCATAACTATTCATTATCGACATATAAACGTTGTTACGGCCCCTGTCGAAGTGCTCATAACTTCAGATTTTTATTAAATAAACGGAACAAAACAAACCCAGGCAAAATGTCACACACATACTAGTGGGAAAATAAAAGGGAATCCGGACGAGTGTGTGAGGGGAGGGGGGGCAGACAGTGGCACATATGCACGAGCATCCTTTTGACCCACAAAATTGAATATATGAAATGCATGTGGCTGAACCCTTTTTTCGTGCCATCCAAAGACCTACTATATGCTACATTCTATATCCTGCGTAATTCAATATTTAACTATATGAGATTTATGGCCACAGGGTCTAGCGAGGACTTCCGGTTCTTGCGCGACACAACCAGGAGCAGGCCGAGCACGAGGACGAGGATGAGAACAACGGCATCGTTTTATTTGTATAAAGTATAATTTTTGATTTAGTGCGATTTTTGTGTCAACGCATTGCGCGTATCCTGGGACCCGGGATGTTCAGCAAAGGGTTAACGCAATAGTTTTGCAATATCCAATATGCCAAAGTGAAAATACGTTTGTTTGCATTGGCCTTTGATGGCGGATATGAGACCACATGCTGATTGTTATTGTCCCAGTGCCGGGCGGGTGGTTTCGGCTTGAGGATGCGACAAAAAACAACAGCGATTATTGCCCTGTTGTTGCTTTTGAGTGCCGCTCTAAGAACGTTTATTTGATTTTTCACGCTTTTCAGCAATAAATGTGAAGACATTACGATAAACAAGTAAAAGTAGCTAACTATGTATAAGATACGCTTCTCACAGGTCTCAGATGATGCTGCAACATACATTTAGAAAAGAAAAACAAACAACCGGAATCTCGCCGGCATTGTACCTTAGGTACCTGAATTTATAGGCTCTTGTCAAAAAATATCTCCTATCAGTAAACCTAGATGGAAAATCGAAATTGATCAAATATATTAATCTATACTTCTTTCGATAGCTCTAGGATGAGACTGGATCGTCTTGCCTGTGGATGATAACCAACCATATGGGTTCGACGATGCCTTATTATGGCTGTTAAATTCATATGCCTGTCATGCCCTTTTTTACCCATTTTCAATGGGTATTAGCTATAAAGACAGCAACAAACCTACACTGATAGCGGCTTGCACGTAAAAATTTATTTTTATTATTATGTAAAATATATCCGACAGGAGCAGACGGTGAAAAGTCAAAAATTCAATAGATGCAAAGTTGGCAACAAATTGCTTTGTTTGTCGACCTCCATTGAATACGCGCGGGAATTAGTTGAGAGGTCGCGCCCACGCGCTTATCACGAGGGGTTGCCAGCGACAGGATGCAAATGCCGTCGATAAGGCGTTAAAAATGTTTGGCAAAAGCCAATTTGCAGAGCCAAACAGAATTTGCATATGAGTGTGCTATATGTTTCCTATGCTGGGAGCTGGGAAGCTGCTCAAAGAAGTGTGTAATCAAAGGGTTGCGCACGGCCGGAAGCAAAGGGCGAGGAAAATTTATTACAGGTTGCATTAAATTTAATTTGAAGCGTGCGCGGAAATTTCAAAATGTAACGCCTGTTCGATACGAAGCTATTTTATGCTCTTGATTGGCTCACCTTGCTCTTGCTCCCACTACCTGTCATTGGCGCCCCTTCATCTCCTCGATTTGCTTGAGCAGCAGTTGCATGCGATCCTTCATCAGTGGCTGGCCGCGCTGAGTGCGCTTGCTGATGGCTTTGGTCTTTTCCAGGCGCTGCTTCTTGTATGCCTTGATGCGTGCCTCCTTTTCGGCCTTGATCTTGTCACGCTCCGCCTGAGCTTCGGCAGCCTTCTGCTGGCGTATCATTTTACGTATTTCCGGCTTGTTGGGCTTGTTGTCCTAAAAACAAAATTGATATATATCTACTTTTCAGCCTGTTGCTTTACTTTAAACAAACCGCTACCTGCTTCTTTTGCTTGTATTTCTGTTTAAAATTGGGCTTATGCTTTTGATCAGCTTTGGCAGGCTTTTTATTAAATTTGCCAGTGTTTTTCTGCGGTTTTGGTTTCATTTTTTGCAACAAAAAAGTTGTAAACAAAACGACACGTGCGAGCAACAGCTGATATGCCAATAATGCTGGGATAACATGTATTTTATCGCTTTACAGCACTCTTTTAATACAACTTATCGATAATCGATTTTTTTAATGTGGTATTATTTTGGTATTTTTGTTTATTATTTAGGCATTTATGCATTTGCCGCTCGCGTGGGCCCTGAGCAAAACATATTTATTTTATTTACTTTACGTTGCGATGAGTTTGGCCGCAATTAAACAAAAGGAAACAAAAGGCAAGAAAAATGTATTGCCCAAACTGCGCACCATATTGGCCAATCCATATAAACAGCACAGGTAAGTCACAATTTTAACTGTGGCAGAAAACTAAGCAAATGAATCTATTCTAGTCCTGTATTGCCAGACAACGAGGTGCTTGAGCTACAAAACATATTAAAAACGGCCATTACCGAAAGTGAGCATACACAACAAACATTTGCCACAAAAACCCACATACAGCTTGGCCTGGAGAGCTCACTACGCGCCATAAACGCACGGCGCTTCTCGTGCGTTTTTATTTCACTAAGTTTAAGACCCTCCCACATTGTGCGCCTGATAGCAACCACAGCTGCGATCAAAGTTCCAACGGCTCCCATCTACGCGCAGCCCAAATTAGAGGAACTGACACATGGACTATTTGGCGTGCGAGCGCTGGCACTGGTACTGCCGCTGGACTTGAATAGCATCAGCTCTGAGTTGGCCAACTGGGTAAATGCACGGATGAAACCTCTAGTTCCAAAAAGCGTAACACTTGTGTCAGCAAAATCTAATAGAAAACGGAAGTCGCACGAACAACTTCTAAAAAAGACTTCAATTGAGCCAAAAAAGGCAACGCCAGCAGCTGAAAAGGAATGGAGCGGGGATTACATATCCTGCTCAAATGAGGGAGGCATCTTAAAACTCGACCAAGTGGATGTGAAGGCAGAAATGCAACAATTGAGCGCTGCGCTAAGCAAACTCGTCCAGGAAAACCAAAACAAGGATGAAATAACTGTAAAGGAAACAAGCACACCAGAAAAAGCAGGGCTGCCAACTATCGAGCCGATGGATATAGAAATAACCGATACAGTCGAGGACGATGAGTTTCTGCCTACAGACCTGGCAAATTATCAGCCACTCATTGTACATCAGATTCGTTCGAATCCTGACAAAAAACCCAAAAAGAAACGCAACAAAAACAAAAAGCAAAAAGCCCAACCGCCACAAAAGAAAACCAACTGATGGTTGGCAACGCGCCGCCAACAGCTGTTTTAGTTTAAGGTTATGTAGCGTTTTTTTTATATTGTTATCGTAATTTTAAAAGGCCGCACAAAATGCTGCGAAGCATACGGCAAATAGCAAGACTACGGAAATTTGTGACGGCTCCGGCATGCAATTTACTCAACTCAACAGCTGCAACAAGTGCAGCAACAGTAGGCAAACAGGCGCCACTGCACACCAGCCGAATTGTGCATAAATATGACAAAAAATCTTCCCGGTCGAGGGACGACATTGACTCGGATGATGAGGTAGATGCCGAGTTTAAGGATGAACGTGATTCGAAGGTGGTTAAGACCAAAGTAAACTCGTTGCGTGCGGATTTGCTACTAAAAGCCGGACTTGGCATGGCCAGAAAGTGAGTGCCTCAGTCAACAGCTTAGATTAACACTGTCATACTAATGTACCCATAAATTGCAGCAAAGTGGAGCTTAATTTCTATGAAAGCAAAATCCGTGTAAACGGAAAGAAGTTATTGAAAAAGAGCGTGCAGGTAAGCTGAGCTTAGGCGGCAAAAACTTTTCCTCAATTAATGTTCTTTAATCAACTACAGCTCGACGTGGGCGATGAGATCGATGTAATACGCGGTTTCAGCCAGACTAATCCCTCACATCTGGTTATCTCACGTGTTGTTATACTCTCTGCCGGCGAACATGACGACGGTCTCAGCGTACACCTGCGCCGTTACAAATCGCTGCTCATTGACAACTATAGCAACCCAAATGCCTACAAATCCTCGGAACCCATTGCACACTAGTCGTATAGCTGTTGTCTGAATAAAACGCTGACACCAATAGCCAAGCAATGTTTACAATCAAAAATTGTGTACGCTTAGCTTTATGTGGCAGGCCTATATTTTTGCATATATACATGACATGCATTAGTTACTCAATGAACCCGCGCATGCTTATCAGCTGCGATTTACGTCGTTACCAGATGCGGCATTTGTCTGCTGTCGGATTCATTGGGCTGCCAAGCTGGCAGTTGTATGCCTGTGCGAAGTCCTCGTTATTGGTGACGGCGCCAAGCACTCTGTACTTGTCCATGGTATGCTCATTGGTCAGTTCCTCCCAATAGTGCCTTTCCTCGTAGTCGGAGCACCATAGCTGCGCAAAGCCTAGGAAAAACAATTGCTCTGGTGACAAATCAAGTCCAGGCATCTGTTCATTCTTGTGCACATAGGAGCCGTTGTTCTCGCTGCTCACTTGCTGCTGCTTCATGTAGCTACGATAAGCACTCAGCGCCTCACGTAAGCCGCCGCTGTCCGCTATATTCTCATCCTTGGTCTGATTGCCGTTGATCTTGCGATTGATCTCCGGTATTATATAGTTATTAAAATGGTCAACATAGCATTTGGCTCGCTCGCTAAACACCTCGCCGGATTTCTTGGACCACCAGTTGCGTGCGGTGCCGTTGCTATCGAACGTCGAGCCAATGCTATCGAAGCCATGGGTCAGCTCATGACCCACCAGATAGCCAATGGTGCCGAACTTAAGCGAGTTGGGCCACGCCTGATGGTATGCCGGCGGATGCAGGATGCCGGCCATAACATTGATCGAATTGTCTATATTGTAGTAAAAGGCATTCACCTGCATGCCCACTAGCAGTTCCAGCGGCTTTGTCGTATTGGACAGCTCCTTATGGTGCATGCCATTGTAGCGCCTTATATAGGTGCTAAAGTGATTTAGATTGATATTGTTCCGGGCATAGGAGCCGGGTATTAACGTCAAATTGTTCATGGCTCGTATGAGACTCTCCGATAGACTGTCATCCTTGCATTTACCAATCCGCGGCACAATGGTGGACTCCTTGAGCAACGCCTCCTCGCGCGTTTCTACATCCAGCCAGTTGGCGTTCTGCAGCAGTGACAGCTGGCTCTTGCGTAGCTCCACAATGATATTCGCAATCTCGGCGCGTTTCTCTTCCGTAAAGTACTCCTAAGCTCGGGCAGAGTAGCTAGTGTTAGGTATTTGGAATAAAGTGTAATAAATAAATACGCACCACAAAATAAAGCTTGTCCAGCAGATAAGGCAGCGAGTACTGCACGGTGAGTATACACTGGTCGCGCTGGAACTTGGCGGCCTTCAATTTGGCATCCATCCGATAAAGCAGTTTCATGGCCAGATAATTGGCTACAGCCGGTTTATGCTTGGCACATACCTTGTCCAGCTCAATATAATAAAAGTCGCAAAAGCGTTCCGGCGGATACATACCGAAATTTAGACCATCCCAGGCAATTTCATAGTACTGATCCCATTGGGGAAATGGCCCTGAAGTGTGCAGTTCGGTCAGCACATCACATTTATCCGAATCGTCGTCGAAGCGATCGGCAATCTGTAGTACATCGCGCCAGAAGGCAAAAACACCAGCTATTACATCGGCCACCTGCTCCTCGGCGAGACCATAAGCGTTCAGGTAGCCCCGCATACGCTTTTCGTTGAGCCTGTAGCCTTTAGTGTCATTGGTAGCGATATTGTCCGTGTGCACAATATAATCGAAGCCCAGCTCTGGCAGCTTAAAGTATGGCATAAAAGGGTATTGGGGCAGTATTTTCTCGTAGATGAGTCCATCAGCACCGTAGTTAGTCAAGTGGGAGCTCATGTTAAACCAGCTGAAATTCGAGGCCAGCCACGCTTCGCCGTCCACGGCGGGGAAGCCACCAATCGACCTGATAAGCTCCAGATAAGCGGGGTCGGCCGCTGGCAGCGGATAGAGCTGAGCGCTGAGGCATGCGTTGTAAAATTGTTGTGCAATGCCCAGCTCAGCACCATACCCGAGATTCTCGGCCAGCGTTGAATTCCCCACAAGAAGCTGCTCGGCAACATCGGCCAGCGTATAAACAATGTCCAGCAGATTGCTCCGCTTATGTTGGGTTTGCCTCTCCTGTTTTACATTTTTCCAGTTGCCACATGCGTACTCATAGAAGTCATCACATGGCGCCACGCTGCGGTTCATGTAGCTCAACATTTGCGAAGCATAGGATTTCAGATATTCCGCATTGGCGTCCGTTATAACGTTATCATTGTTCTCAGCGCTTGTGGCGTCATCAATCTCCGACGCGGGCTTAGCTGCGCATGTTGCCAACAAAATTATTACCAATAAGGCATCAGCACACATAAATGATAAGCTTTTTTTAATCTCAAACATTTTCCTTTGCATCTAATACTTATTCGCATTCATTCATCTATATACATGGGTAAACATGTATTCTATATGTTTATAGCGTGTGTAAGAAATTTTTCGTTGATTGATTGATTTGAAATAATGGCAATTATATGGCGCGCTCTGTCTATAGTCTTGCGCGTCTGCTTCATTCAAAACCCAGTTTAAAACTGTGTGGCATGGCGGAAACACAAAATTGCCAGCATTAGCTGCTAGGGCGCTCTCTCGGCGATTAAGCGCAGTAATGTCTGCTCACTACGTCGTTGGCTGATAACGAATTGATTCAAAAACATGACCTATTCTACGCGAGTCAGATAATAAATAATTTTGCCATACTGCCACGGTTCTCATTCATTGGCCAATTCAATTGCGTATCAGAGCGCGCCAAAGCATTTGAAATTCTTATAAATAATTGGCAGCACTGGACGCAAGTTTTTACTAATTGATAGATTCGATATATTTAAGTTAACGATAGGTAAGCCGTGCCAGGAATTCAATATGTTATGTTTTTAAGTGCTATATTACAGTACAAAAATCATCTAAGAAAGACAAATAAACTGAAAAGAGCAAATCTAAACGGCAAAAATAACAACCATATGAACATGATGGAAGTTTGATAGTAATATATCGATATAATACCAAAATATGGTACCTCTAATGCGTGATACAAGAAACGGAACATTCATAAATTTAGTCAGACTACCCTGTTAAAAAAATGCCGCTTATACCAATGTGGCAACGCCAAGCTATGCGATTAAATACTACTTATGTTTTTGTCACTGTTTGAATTATTAATAAAATGTCGTTTTCAAGCGCTGGTGAATTCCGCGTAGTTCTACAGCAATATAAAGTAAGTCTTCCTGCTCACACGTTTAACACATTAGCTTAACTATTATCATTCAGTACGGATCGCATCAAATATTCTGCATCATCAAGATACTGCCAGACACGGTCAGTTTTTTCGAAAAGGAGCCGGAAAATGACTTCAACTGGATGACGGCCGCTCGCTGGACAAAACTTGAGAGCGCCTTATGGCGTCTGTTTGCCAGCCTCAATAATTGGGATGAAGATGCACGCAAGCTAAATACCCAAATGCTCATAGATCACATAAAAGTGTCGGTCAGCTGGTCCGAGGAATTGCTGCCAGCGGCACAGAAGCTCTTGCAGGATGAGGTGCTAGCCCAAAATGATCTTGGCCTGGAGATTGTGCTGCGGTATATGTCACACGAGGACAAAACAGTTGTTGACTCACAGGCGAAAAAACGCAAGCATACCGACAAAGTAAGAACCACCCCGCTGGAGCACAGCGCCGACAATGCCGACAAAGTCAGGGCGGCTGGTTCCAACCCTTCCAGCAAAAAGAAGTCAGCAGCAAAAATCAGGTGCGCAAAGCCTTGTACTGCTATAGCTGCTCAATTTAAATTTATTATTATTAATCCTTTTGCAGTAATTCCGAACCAACGCAGCCGTCAGAAGAGGCGTCCGTAAGCAAACGTCCGTGCGAAACGACGAGCAGAAAACGTGAGCGTAGATCAATATCCCAAGGTAGTCATAGTATCAAAGATGTGCCGCCAACTTCAACGATTGAACAGACTTCATCTCGTAATCGTACGGACAAACGCACGAAGAGTCCAACTTCGCGGTATGCTGATTACTAATATAGTAGTATGTATGATAAATGTCATGCCCGTTCCATTTCTAGTGCGAACTCCGCTGAGCCAAAGGCGGAACGGCGTTCAGCTCGCTCTCCGGTGCGACCAGGTCGTTATAATGAATTTGTTTTGAGGTAGCTGTGGCCATATAAATATTTAAACTGTGTCTTCATTCATTTATATATTATATATTTTACAGCGACAAAGTTACGCGTAAGGTTAAACAGAAAAGAACTGACAGCGACTCCAGCTCTGAGAAAGGACCAAGCCAAAGTGCAACTAACAACAAGCACAAACAAACAGTTGCCAATGGAAATGCAGCTCATTCAGGCTCACAAAACTGGAAATTTGAACAGCTCGATGGAGCGCGCATTAATAAGGCTGCGATCAAGCAACTGAACGATATGCTTGACATACCCAAGCCCCGTAAAGTTAAGATTCTGTAAGATTTGAATTTAATAACATTTTATATAGAGTATTACAAAGAAATATGTTACGCCTTTACGACCCATCATTACATTTGTTTATTCTTGGTTTGCATCGATAGTCGCATAGAGATAAATATGTCTCTCTATTCTTTCATCGATCTAAATGTAGCAAACTTCTCTTCTCGAAATAGTTGAAACGTACCATAGAATTGGTTTTTTTTGTCCACTCGAATCGGATCACATCCCATTCAGTTTCAGACTACTATGTATTGCTCCTATAGAAACAGTTCTTATATTAAAACCCCATTGGTTTGTCAAGATATATATACCAAACCGTTCCGATCTAAACCCTATCACTGTGTTGTATAAATATCTTATTTCTCTAATAAAAAAATTTTACATATTAGTCTGCTTAAGGATATGGACGAGGCGACAGTTCTTAAAACATTCGAGGCATATCGGATAGACTTTGATCGACTATTCAAGGAGCGGGAGCATAAGTACCAGACAACCAGCTATATGACCATCGATCACTGCCACATTATGGATATATTAACAAAACCGATACGCGACAGCATGATTAAGAAACTGGGCGAGGCATATAGCAAATCGGGCGTAAGTTGCAAAAATATAAATTATATATATGTACACATGCTCAAGATCAGATTTCTTTATAGCCGCACGGTTCGCTGGTTATAAATGGCCTACTGCCGCTTTGGATAATTCGTCTGTTTATGGACAGGTATCACTTAACGCAGAAGGAGGCAGTGCATCAAATTGCGGATCAACTTAAGTACAACACATACCTCAAAGCGCTCAATAATGAGCCACTTAGCTCGGATTTGGAAGACCTATAAAATTTAACACTAGATAATTATACATGTATTTAAATTTATTTGGAATCTTTACTCTGTTACGCATTCAATTCATTTATATATCTCATTTGTTTAAATATATTAAATCAAAATGTAGCTTTTTTGAGCCGTACAACAAACACGTGAACGACTTTGACGCAGAGAGCTTTACGGCGATGTGCTATGAAATTTTTTTTTACTTAAAACTAAACACGTGCCTAGGTAGATGTACTGTTGATGCAACGGTAGTGTATCACCTGCGCACATGCGTAGGGTATGTACTCAGTCTGTCTGCCACAATCGTATATTTACACAATTCATATATGGATGTGGGATGGTATAGAATGGGTATGTGTGATGTCTGCCTGCAGCTTAGAGCTCATCATGCTGTTGCTCCTCATCGTCTTCTTCGGCATTTGTGTTCGCCTCGTTGCTGCTGGCCTTTGCCTCATCACTGTCATCGTCATCATCCTCATCGAACTCAATTTGCTCGTCCTGTGGCACGCCCAGTGTCTGACGCATCATACGCTCAATGCTGTCGGCAAAGCTTGCTGTCTCCTGCAACATGTAGCCGGAGCGTAGTGTGGAAGTACGGTACATCATGAGCGCCATTTCCTTGGCCGTTTCATCGGCCTCATCAGCTTCGACGCGACGCAACAGCTCGCGCATCAGCGGATGCCTGGGATTTATCTCTAGCGTTTTCTTCTGGTTCAGATAGTAGCTACGCTGCGGGTCATCGGCCTTTTGATGGGCATTCGACATGGCCAAACGCTCCATGTTACCGGTCCAGCCAAACACGCTGGCGACCAGAGCGCAAGGCGAGTTGCTGAGACGCTCCGAGACCTGAGCCTTAGAGATCAGATCCTTCAGGGCCACATCATTCAGCCATTTAACCAAAGGCTCGAATGTGCTCTTCAAAACCTCAAACTTCTCTTTGCTCTTCTCGGATTCGTTTAGCTTGAATCCCTCCTTGGCAACATTCTGGAACTTCTTGCCATCGAATTCTGGCAGCGCCGAGATACAGTACTCATCCACAGCCTCAACCAGGTAGAGCACCTCATAACCCTTGCTCAGCAGACGCTCAACAAATGGAGACTTCTCGACCTCACCACGGTTAGCGCCGGCAATATAATAGATATGGTCCTGCTTGGACTTCATGCGTTCAACGTACTCGGCCAGCGAGGTAACGCCCTTGCCATTAGAGCTCTGGAATCGCAGCAGCTTGGCCAGACGCGAACGATTGCTGGGATCCTCCATGACGCCCAATTTGATGCTAAAATAAAACAAATAAGTTATTTAACGATAAATTCATGAATAATCCCCCAGTGTTATACATACTTGGTGGAGAACTCCTTCCAGAACTTCTCGTATGCGGCCTTATCGATCTTCTTAATCATGTCCAGTACCTTGCGTACCAGCTTCTTCTTGATAACCTTAATCAGCTTGTGCTGTTGCAGCGTTTCGCGAGAGACATTTAAAGGCAGATCATCTGAATCGACCACACCACGAATGAAGCTCAAATAGTTGGGCATCATATCGTTGAACTCATCCGTAATGAACACACGGCGCACGTACAGCTTAATGTTGTCAGATTTGGTGCCATAACGATTGAAGGATTCAGATGGCTGAACTTTTGGAATGTATAGCAAGCTCTTGAAGGTGACCTCGCCTTCGGCAACAAAATGGGTTTGAGTTAGAGGCTCGCTCGAGTCCTTGGTCAGACTCTTATAGAATGCATTGTACTCCTCCTCAGTGACTTCGGCTGGTTTGCGTGTCCAGATGGGCTTGCTATCGTTGATCAGCAGCCAGTCCCAGACGGTCTTTGAAACTTTCTTGGTCTTGGGCTTATCCTGGTCATTATCCTCCTCAACCTTAACATCCTCATCGGCCTCCTCGATATCATCTTCGGACTTTTCGGCTGCAGGTGCTTCATCCTCGACGGGCACCTCCTCATCGACAGTTTTGCTAGACCACATCATGATGGGGAAATTGATGAACTGCGAGTATTTGCGAATCAGTTCGCGGACGGTGTCCTCCTCCAAAAAGTCCTGAGCCTCGTCCTTGAGATACAGCGAGATGATTGAGCCACGTTTGAGGGTATCGCCACGTGGATCTTCCGTAATACTAAAGCTATTAGCATCCGATTCCCAGATGTATTGCTTATCATCGTTGTGCTTGGTGGTGACCACAACACGATCGGCGACAAGGAAAGCCGAATAGAAGCCCACACCGAATTGTCCAATCATATCATTCAAATCCTGACCCTCCGACTTGCTGGGATCCTGCATTTTGGCCAAGAAATCGGCAGTGCCAGACTTCGCAATTGTGCCCAAGTTGTTAATGAGATCCTGATGTGTCATGCCAATGCCAGAGTCCAAAATATGCAACACTTTGTTCTCCTTGTCGGCCTTAATTCGTATATGCAGTTCCGGATTGGACTCCAGCTCTTTGCGATCTGTCAGCGCCAGCAAACGAATCTTGTCAATGGCATCGGAAGCGTTCGAGATGAGCTCACGCAGGAAGATCTCCTTGTTGCGATAAAGCGAATTAATAATCAGCTTCATCATGCGATTGACCTCCGTTTGGAATGTGAACTTCTCAGCCTGAGAGGGGAAAAAGAACAGAAGAAAACAAAGTTACTCTAAATGAGACCAAACACGTTAATGGCAAACACCAAAAACACTAAACTCTTTTTTAGTGTGGGGTTTTATTTTATTGTGCAGAAGGAAGTTCAAATGCATATTAAGCCAGCTAACAGCTGGGTATAGGGTATTTCCTAAGCGGGCACTTTCGAATGGAGCATTATGTTTTATGAATGGGCTTGTCTGCGTATACGTGTATGTGTGCGTAAACGTGGGCATGCGGGCGATCTTTCGTATGTGTGTGTGTGTGCTTACCTTTTCGCGTATTTCTTTCAGTTGTGCCACATTTAGGCCGTCCAATTGAATAGCTTCTTCCTCGCGCTTGAGCGTTTCGGCATCTGTATTAAAAAAATTAATTATATATTTTTATATACATATATATGAATATCAACTTGTATTTGTATGGTGATAAGGGGCGTCAACATTAGCAACGGTAAAAGCTAAACGCTGACGTGTACAAAAATGCTGTTGACCGGTAGGGGGCGTATACTATATACTATATACAATTACCTGTTCTGGAACCTTCCTTAAAGGCGCCCAAGTCCAGGTCAATCGTCTCAGTGCTGTCTGCATCATCAGCAACAATTTGATTGATGCCTAATTATACGAAAATATTGATGAATAATAATTATGTTAATGCAAAATTTAGGTTAAAATGCCGGCAGCAAGTAGAGAGCGTGGCATTTCTATTGGGCGTACCTGCTAAAAGCAAAAGGCCCAGCAGCAAAAACTGCTTCATCTTTGATTTATTTACAACTTAATTAACTTGCACTGAAATTGGATAAATGTGCCTTCTGGCCACGTCAGTGCAACAACTTCGGATGTCCACCAAGATTCGTTGTAACTCCCCACGACAGAAGTTGACCGACCGAACGCTTTTCGCACACAAAAATGACGCCGTTGCGACGCAGCCAACGCATATAAATAAGTCGCAACAGAGTTGCCAGACAATGACAACTATTTTTAACAACTATTTTTTAGTTACAAGCACTGGCGATAACAAATCGGGCGTTAAATAGCGCTTGATTTTTATTCTAATTTATAAGCTTATACGTTTAAAAACGTAGTGTCTTTTGTGCTGCTATTAGCAGCACGTCAAACATATATTATTAAAAAATTCCAAAAATATCGATAATATTTTGCGCTGCGTATGCAGCGTGACCGCATCATTCGATAACAGTCAGTGCAAGCTGATTTTGACATTCCTTTTCGTGTGCGTTTTTCTCACATGCTACATACACACACACACGTGCACAGCCCAACTCGCAAACGATTTAGGATTTGTAGTTGGCCAAGAAATTAAATGATTTTACAATCAATAAACATTTTCGTGAGTTATTTATAATATACAAAGCTTATGCTTTTATATTCTAGCATATTTTTAGTACACATTTTATAAAATGCGCCACGGCAGCAGCGCACAGTGACAGCAGCAGCAGCAGCAGTAGCAGCAGCAGCGAGAGCCACTTGAGCGCGAGCGAGCAGCAACAAAATCGGCAACAGACAGCAACATTTCATTATTGTTCGTCGTGCGTGGAGGTGGAGCACCCGTCAATTATAGTTTCGCGTAGTCTCATTTTATCCGCCGTCCTCTATACACGAACACACACTCATAACCGTTAACACGGAAAAGGCTGAGACCGTATTATACAACAAAATTATAAGTGTGCAAATTAAAGTACGCCGGCAATCGATGTGTATTTGTCCTTCAACTTCAACACAGTTGCGTGGCCACAAAGCTAAATCCCCACCACAAATAATTATTTTCAACGGCAACATCGAGCGTGATAGTGTGCCGTGCATATGTGTGTGTGTGTGTATGTGTGTGCAACGTAAGGCAATATCATTAGCCAAAGTGCGTGCTCGCTTATCAGCTGCTCGCTGGTGGCAGTACCTGTAAACTCGCTGCGAAAGTTGCGGCGAAAGGCAGAAGCGAAGAGAAATCACACTGTCAAAGCAAAAGAAACGCCAATAACGCAAGCAACGCAAGCGGCTACTTAAAGTTTTTGTTATTTTTTTTTTTTAATTTGAAAGGAAAATCTAATAAGATTTTTTTTCTTGGAAGCCAAAGTCAATTCCAAATTCCAACAGAGGCCAACGCCATGAATATCGATGACTACGAATCGCTGCCGACGACCAGCGTCGGCATAAATATGACTGCTGGCGCTTTAGCGGGCGTATTGGAGCATATTGTCATGTATCCGCTGGACTCGGTTAAGGTGAGTTTATGCGTGTGTGCTTGTGTGATGCTGTTTTATTTTTCCAATGAATGCTAAAAGCTGTGTATGTGATTGAAGTGGTGCATAAACATAGCGTACCTAACCTCACAATTGCGCATATCTCAATGTACTTCCCATGTCTGAGTGTGTGTGTGTGTGTGTGCGTGTGCGTGTGGTTGTGCCTGTTTTCGTCTTATGCTTGGCATAATCGTGATGTAATTCCTTGAACATTTGCTGCTTAGCAATGCGCGCGTTGCTCGCCGCTTCACCCCCTCATAC